TGACTGATGAAAACTTAGGAGCTTAATCCGACACCAGTTTGACGATGAATTAAGTCAGGTGACGAGTATGACTTTTTTTTTTTCACATTGGACTCCACCGGGAAGAAATTCCGTGCGTACTGCCTGCTTAAATGTTAGCTACGACAGAATCTATTCGGCAAATGTGTTTCCATCTCTGCTTTCGCGCATTAACTCTTACAGGATGGGGGAAATTGGTCTTGGTGGAGGTTTGCACTCTCCGAGTGCTTCTAGTTTATTTATTGTTTTATTAGTGGGGTTTTTTGTATTGTTTTTCTTGGTAAACTGGGACCTTGAGTTTGTAGTTTCGTTCCACCCCAGGTATCACATGTGATGTGAATGACAATAAAATCTCATTCATGTAAGGAAATGGAACAGAGTCTGTTTCAATATTATGTGACTTATCTGTCTTGGGACAACTAATATAGATCATGACAATGTGAGCACTGCTAAGAAGAATATTTCTATTTGTTGTAAGACCTATTTATTTTGTTTTCACCTTTAGTATACTTATATAGCTGTGGGAAAAAAATCTAACATTCATTCTATTCATTCAGGGATCAGTGAATTCTTCATGGAAACGATCTTCCTGAAGACAATTTTGTCTTTAAAATTGCCTTTTAAGTTTTCAGAAAGCAGGAATRTTAAGCTGCATCACTTCAACAACTACAATAACCAAAAACACATTTTTAATCTGAATGTGTACTTGGGTCAAATAAATAGTTTTCAGATGAGAGAACACGCTGATATGTGCCTATTTGTGATGATTTGCGTCACGGTTTAATGGAGGTATGACCCAGACATGACTAGCACAAGAAACTCAGGAAGTAAAACTTACTTTAATATAAACAAAACATAAAGAATGGTAAATAGGCAGCAAAACACAAAACTCAGGAGTAGACAAAAGGAATAACACAAGGACTTGGCATGAGTTTGCATAATGCTCAAATTAAACTAGAGTGAATAGTGACGGACTACAGAAGCTGGTGCTGATGAACAACCACCAACTGAAATCCATCCTGGGATTCACATATAATTGTTGTGACTGGGTTTCACAAACTTCCATCCATCCATCCATCCATCCATCCATCCATCCATCCATCCATCCATCCATCCATCCATCCATCCATCCATCCATCCATCCATCCATTCATCCATCCATCCATCCATCCATCCATCCATCCATCCATCCATCCATTCATCCATCCATCCATCATCAATCTATCCACCCATATACTGTATCTACCAATCTATCCATCCATCATCAACCGATCAATTTATATATCATCTATCATCCATATATCCATTGATCTATCATTTACCATCCATCCATCCATCCACCAATCTATCCATCCAATACCAATCTATCCATTGATCTCTCATCCATCCATTACCCAACTATCCATGCATATATCCATCAATCTATCCATCCATCATCAATCTATCATCCACATATCTATCTATTGATCAATCCATCCATCATATATCAAGTGTTCTCAATATTAACTTTATAAAACAAGCATAAAAATAAATTTACTTTCATAATTAAATCAGTTACAGAAAACCCAGCAATGTTAGAGTTACAACAGTAGTAGAGACATCCTGAAAACAGATTTTGATTAAATGTTTGCAGCTATAATTACAGTAGGATGAGAAAAAACATTTTTTAAATGAATCAGTGCTTTCTTGAGCCACCCAAACAATTACTTTGTATGTTGTTGTCGGTGCAAAACAGGGAAGTTTCATTTTGATGAGTGGCACCATTTCTGACAGCAGTTATTCAGCAGTGTAATTTAGTGCAATGATGTTTTCTTTCAGAAAAACACTGTGTACTTTTTAGTGATCACACAGTTTTCAAACCATTACKTCTATGTAATTAGACCGGTTATCTGTCAACAAGACAAAGTGTTTTCGTCTAGCACATAACTGCCAAGTTTTCAGGTGCCAAACATTCTCTGCAAACTTTGACTTTCAGTGTAAATATTTTTGCCTTCCTTGTTCCCCCAGCGGGCTTCAAATGGCATTCCTCAGATGCCACACATTCTGTCGTGGGTGCCTTTTCTGCTCGCCAAATGCCACTTTTTCTCAGTTGAGAGAAGCTTCCGTTGTAAATCTCCATTTGCTGAGGACCGTTTTTGACTGAGACACATGTGGCACCACGGTGTCTGTGATTTATCATTATTTTTGGTCCCATGGGTTCACACAGATCACATTTCAGATATGTCAC